TCCCAGGATGAGGGAGCGCCTTGGACCAAGCCGGCGGAGGTGGACACTGGGGTGAGGTGGGTCATGGTTGCTAGTGTGGAGTGATGTAGCCCGGGATTGGGTTTGAATTGTGCTTGGGAATGGGAGGGGTGATCTAGCTGGGTGGTTATATCGTGCCAATGTGCATTGCGTCGCAGTCAAAGATGAAGGACATTCAGCAGGGCCGAGATCACCGTAACAGTGACTGCTGGATGACGGCGACCGCCGACCGAGACGAGACGAGACGAGACGACACAGCCGATCGGGCCGAATACAGTTGAGAAGTGAGACGACGGAAGCGAGACGAGGGCCCCGGCTTTCCCCACCTCTTTGCCTGCGGCTTCCGCAAGTGGTCTCACTCCCGGTTGAGGTCGCCGAACGAGACGAGCCCGATGGTAATTAAGTACAAATATCCCCGTACTTGGTCACCTCACCTCCACGGTTCTCCGCACATCATCTCCCTCTGCCCGCTCAGTTTCTCATCAGCACTCCCGAATCACAACTCGCATTCCCGACAGGCGCCATGGCGACTCTGGACAATGACAAGGACTTGGGTCTCGCACACCTTGAGGGCGAGACCATGCCTCGCCAAGCACACGGCGTACCTGGTCTCAGCAAGGATCAGTTTCTCCACGCTCGCGATGCGGCGATTGCTGAGACTCGATCGCCGGGTTTGGTTCTTCGGGAGAACCTCCGAGCCTTTGCGACCATCTTGTCTGTTCAGGTGAGGTTTCGCTCTCGAAGTATCCCCTTTGCCTTCCTGACATCCGCTCTCAGACGCAAGGTGTCATCCTCGGCCTTGAATATGTCCTCCTCGGCGCACTTGTCGGCAACCAAGCCTTCTGTCGTACGATGGGGGTGTATGACGCAGCCTCGGCCTCGTACTCTATCGAGCCTTGGGTATTGTCCCTCTGGGCAGGTGTCTTTGGTATCATGTGAGCACAGCCTACCTTGCTCCCGAAGACTATCTCAACGTGGTTCAGGCAATTCCTCGGCCAGATCACATTCGCGTTCATCTGCGATAGATTTGGGCGACGGGTCGGTCTCTACCTTGTCATTCTCGTCACCTACGTGGGTGTCACCGTGGAGGTGGTGTCGCCGAACTACAAAGTCTACACCGGAGCCAAGGTGATCATGGGTCTAGCTACAGGCGGTCTGCAGGTAAGCATCCCGCACCCTCAGCGAGAGAAAGATACTGAAACCGAGTCTAGGTTGCGGTACCCACCTATGTTGCCGAGGTTGCCCCCCGGGAGATTCGAGGCATCTCCATAGGTCTGTTCGCATTTGAGCGTGAGTCCACAGTCTCTACTTTGGACAACGACGACCGCGCTGAATCGCGCTCAGTGTCTCTCGGCGCCCTGATTGGCTCCGTCGTAACAAATGCCGGCAACACAGCCTTCCCCGACGTGATGGATAACCGAGGATGGAGAGTCCCTCTCTACGTGGGACTCGCGACTCCCACAGTCTCACTCGTGCTCGAGTTGCTCACACTGGTCGAAAGTCCTTACTGGTGTATGCTCAAGGGAAAGCGTGAACAGGCGACCGCGGGAGTCCGTAAGCTCTACCCACGGAAGACGGAGCCCGAGGTTCAGGCCGAAATCGACCTGCTCCAATACACGATCGAAAAGGAGCGAGAGCAGGCAACGACGGTGAGTGACCCCCAAGCCGAGGCCAACAGGTACGCCTACTGAAACCATCCCCAGAACTCCGGGGCAACGTTTGTGGATTGTTGTCGTGGTCGCAATCTCAGGCGTACTTTTGTCGCCGCCTTCCCGTCTCTTGCTCAGCAGATCTGTGGCAACCAGCTCGTTCAGTCCTACTCGACCTACTTCTTCACCCTGGCCAAGATTTCGAACCCCCTCAAAGCAAGCGTCGTCGTCTCGTGCCTTGGTCTCGTCGGCGCCATCATCGCCTTCTTTGTAATCGAGAAAAAGGTTATCGGACGTTTCCAGCTGGTCTTTGGCGGCATCATTGCGGTGACTATCTGCATGCGTAAGTGGGTCTGGATCTCGTCCGGGGTTCGTCTATTAAAGTCACACAGTCGGCATCGGCATTGTGGACTCGGCATCCTCCGGTGGGGTCATTGGAAAATCTAGCGGTTACGTCCTCGTGTTCTTTGTGGGGCTTTACAACCTCGCGGTCTGCGTGGGACCTGGAGTCGCAGGGTGGGCCTACGCTGGCGAAGCTGGATCCGTCCGCCTCCGAGCCAAGACTTCGGCTCTGGCCACGGGAGCGAACGCCATCGTCGGCACCTTCTGGAATGTGGTCCTCCCGTACGAGCTGGACGCCATCGGTCCTAAGACTGGGTACATGTTCTTCGGCTTCGGCGTGCTGAGCTGTATCGTCATCTGGTTCGGCATCCCAGACCTCACCGGTAGGAGCTATGCTGAGCTGGACGAGCTCTTCGAGCGCAAGATTCCGGCGAGGAAGTTTAGGACCGCACAGTGCACCGGGTCGTACGGCGAGGACGAGGACGCGGTGTGAAGCTGTTTAGGGGAGCAGTTTGGGCGGGCGTGCCGGGTAGAAATGAATGTCTTTGTGTGTGGGAGAAAAGAGATGGGTGGAGGATGATCGTTTTTTGAAAGGGGACGGGTTTGTGACTTCGGCGTTTCAGAATCTTGACATGCAAGAGTTGAAACCCGAATGTCAGAGAGGGACTTCGCTGCGAGAAAGGTCCACACGTCCAGCGGCACGTGGAGCTATGTCGCCGCCTTTGTCAGCTCCGAGTAGAGGGCAGCTTGTCAACGAGTGTATCAGCATTTTTGTTCGTCAAAAATCAAGTCGACGCCGCTACCAACGCGGTAGAGCTCAATCTCACCACTGAGCACTGTAGAGCGCGATCTCAGATCTGCTAGTTGCAGAATCGCGGCTTCATAGGTGTCCAACGTTCTAGCGACGTACATGCTCACAGACATCTCATTCTAGATCGCATTGACGACATGAATGCCGGGTTTGAGCACGATAATCCTCCGGGCGAGGGAGCTTTTGCGCGTTGTCTTGGTGCTTTCGCCAGGCAGACCGGGCAGAAAGTGGAGGCGCTCGTGAAGGAAATCCCCGCCTGCGGCGACCAACGCCCCGTGTACGAGTTACTGTACAAAGCGGCCGGGCCCGAAGCCAGGCCGATACACGTGTACCGTATTAGCCGAGCGAGTGTGCCGACTACTCGAGGTGCCGACCGAATGGTGTTGTCCTGCATTTCCAAGTTGCAAGTAGCTCAACCAAGTTTGCTGGGCGTCCATCAAGTCACCGTCTCCAAAGGTCTATACAGTACAAAGGTCGGCAAGCCGCGGAACCAAATGTATACAGTATCGAAGTTGGCTCACTTTTGGTAGACACTGTCTCGTTTCCCAAGCGATGCAGGACGCCACGGAAAGCGACGAGGCGCGTGATCATCCTCATAGCCTACGGATCAATGACTTCACATCACTTCATTGTTGGACGGGCTCACGGTAGGCAATGTGAACTGCTGCTGGATGCGTGGGTTGCATGCAGAGAACGGATGTCTAACCGTGGTCCTGAGCACGATGCGCCCACAATGTAATCATTTCAATCACTGCTACTCGTCACAATCATGACAAGCCAGCGGTAACCGGTCGTCTCCTTACTCCTGCTTCCCATGACAAGACGACCGCTTGCCGGTGCCAGCTACCAAATAGCATCGTCGCATCCCGGCGCCGTGTTCATTTCGGCTCGTTCAGCCAGTCATCCGCATCCTGGTAGAATGAGGCGACGAGGTCGGGTCGGTCGTCTCCAGGGAGGTCCGCCGAGACAGGATATCCTGCTTGTCGGTTCAGATAGTTGAGATGACGGTACGACGGGCGTCCGCTCTCCAGCAAGGCGGCATCGAGCTTCAGAGTGGCTGCTGTGTCTACAGTGTCGATGCGGTCCTGCAGTAGATGCTGTCAAACGTCTGTAGTCGCCACTGGCCCTCGCGCTGTTCCAGCCTCGAATAGAATCGACACCAACTGAAGACATTGCAGGTAATGCCACCGATGCGAGGGCGGATGTGGATCTCCCCCTGGCTCTCGACCACCGCTCTCTTCTTCACGACGTTGCACCTTACAGGAGTGATGACATGAAGTCCTCGGCCACGTCCGCGTTGCTGCTGGTCGCGGGAGATATCGACGAACTCGTCGATCGTCCCTTCGAACCAGGTGACGCGGATGGCGGAATCGTCCCAATACAGCGAGCGCAAAGTGGTAAAGTCGCCAGTATCCCGAGCGAGCCGTTCCCGTCGCACCAGATTGAAGAGCTCCCTCTCAACCGTGGCGTCGGGCAAAGAAAGGACAGGGTTGGTCATTGCGGGAGTTGGCGCGGGAATTTTCAAGCGGTTGGAGAAAGGCGCAGCTTACTGTCTGAAGTTGCGTTTGGATGTTTGGACAGAAGAAATTGAATGAGAGACGGCAATGTTGCACAAGGGGTGGAGGCATCTCCCCTCCCGCGGCGCCACAGATCGGCTGGGTCGGCAGTGGCGGTGAATCACTCGCTTTGCAGGCCCAGCCGTTGACGATCTAGCCGAGTGTCAAACCTCCCGCCTTGTGTGAGTAGCATGAACAGTGCTATTTTGGGCTCTCTACCACTCTGTTAGGCTTTTATCCACTCCTGCTCTATTGACCCCACTAAACAGACATGTTTGCAATATGCACCCCGCAGTCTGCAGCTGCCGGGAGACTTACGTTGACTCCAGTCACGCCCAAGAGGCGGTCCTCTCCATCACGAGCCCTCGCCCCTTTCGACGGGTCTCCGCGTTCCGAGCGTTACCCGAATGAAAGATCGTGATCCTGCCAATGATCCACTGGTAGTGCTTCACTTGCGATTCCGAGCTCCCGAGACTGCGAGGATCGGCAGAGACGAGCGTATCGCCAAAAATTGGTACTGTTGATAGTCGGTCCCCCACGGGAGGTCTACACACTCTTCCAGCCATCACGAACTCCCACCACACCCGAACCTGCTTTAGGTGAGTAAAGATTCTCAATTGGAAGATGTCGTCGAAGTATCGCTTGACTGTTCAGAAGCACTACTCTCGTGATATTGTCCGACTCGGCATGTCCGTCGTTACTGAAATTGTACCACAAGACAAGGGGGAGATTGATCTGGTCAAACAATCGCCGGGAGGGGATCTCAGTGATATCAAACATCACCAAGGCGAGCTACACGAAGCAAAGCTGGTGTCCCTGTCCGAATATAAAGGCGTCATTCAGACCATGAGGGAGGACACGAAGGCAATGTTGACTGTTGTTGTGGCCTTGGTATGTCTGTTGTGAGACATGCAAATGCCGTGGGGTTTACGCTCAATCCTAGTGCAGATCCACGCCTTTATCCTCGGCACCGACACCTCAATCATAGGAGCACTCGTCGGCTCGCAATCCTTCTGCAAGATGATGGGTGAAGGCTATCAGACGTCCCCTGGAGTATACGCGGTCCACGCCAAGACGGTGACAATGTGAGCCTCCCATGCTTTGGGTCTGGGGCGACGAGCACGAGCAGCTAATTCGCCCGCAGCTGGAACGCGGTCGCCTGCCCCCGCAAGTCCTTGGCCAGCTAACAGTCGGACCTCTGGCAGACTACTTTGGGCGCCGAAACATGGTTTTTATCAAAATCGCGGTTATGCTCCTGGGAGTGGTCATCGAAATCACAGCTCCGAACCGGAAAGTCTTCACTGTCGCCGAGTTCATCATGCCGTACACCGCAGCTCTTCTGCAGTCCACCGCACCTCTACTGGTTTCCGAGCTCTCCCCTCGCTGCGTGAGAGGTATCATGATGAGCGCGTATCCTACCATTGGTGAGACGCCCGGTTGCCACGGCTGCGTGTGAAGCGTTGTTCGATGAGTAACCGGGGTATCAAGAACATTTGGCAACATCCTTTCGGTCATCCTCTGCTGGGCATCATAGCGACGATGGCAAGATCCCGATGTCAAGTCAGCGTATCGTGTGCCGCTCATCGTTTCGGCCGTACTCCCCGCTATCGTTCTTGTGATCCAAATCCTGGCCTTGCCGGAGAGTCCAACGTGGTCCATAATGCACGGCAAACCGCAGCAAGCGAGGTGGGTCGGCCACACCAGGTGCTGATAGCTGAGTGCGACCACAGGAAAACTATCAAGTACATGTCCCCCAAGCGGTCAGAGGCAGAGAGGGAACTCCTGTTCGCAAAATACGAGTACACTCTTGGCAAGGAAGCCGGCCTTCAAGAGATGGGCAAGACCGCCTCGTTTGGGGACTGCTTCCGTGAAACTGACCTCAGGAGGACCTTCTTGCGCATTCTTCCCGGCGAAGACTTCGTCGATGATGGGCAATTCGATCGTTGGACCCCAGGCGACTTACTTGTAAGCCCAAAAGCCTGCGCGCTGTAGTAGACTTCGTCACCGCCCTCGGTGACCCGTTATCCGGTTTCTCCGCGATATTCCCCGCAGTGCAGAAGCGGGCGCCCGCCTCTTGTGCCATGACTTACCCATCTCAGCTTCACATTGGCAGGACAGAACAATGCCCTCGCCTCGACATGCATATCCCTTGAATGTGGACTTGCGGGCCTTTGCATACTATTCTTGTGCGTCGACAATGCCCGCGTAGGTCGCAAGCGGCTTCTCTTTGCCGGCCAAGCCTCGATGACGGCGGCGATGTGTGAGTGATGCTTCTCGCTTGACCTGCGCCATTTGGAACCCGCTGACGAGGCCCAGTCGGCATTGGAATCACTGCGACTGCTTTTCCCTCTCCGTATCTCCAAGTCGCTGGTAACCTCATGCTCGCATTCCTTTGTCTGGGTCTCCCCGGTGCGCAATACGGGCCGAGTGGCTGCGGCTGGACGTGCATCGGTGAGACGGGCTCTCTTCGTTTAAGGGCAAAATGGCAACGCTCGGTAACCTCGGCAACGGCATCCTAGGTACTTCGTATATTGTCGCGATCCCTTACATGCTTACCACATCCTCCTTTGGCATCAAGGGGTCGGCATTCTGGTGAGGGTGCACGACTCCCCACGGACAGACGCTTACTTCCTTGCAAGTACGGAGCGTGGAGTGTTGTTGCAATCGTTCTGACCTACTTGTTTTTGCCGGATTACACCAGACGATCATACGCTCAGATCGATGAGATGTTTGTCTACAGGGTTTCCGCACGCGAGGTAAGTTGGCCCCGTCAAGCATTTCCACGATGCTGATGATCGGTGCAGTTCAGACCTTATGAATGCACTGGCGACTACGACCGAGACATTATTGGGGAGATCGAGGGAAGTGCAGTGGCCGTCATTTCGATGTGAAGAGCGGGCACGGAGATGCCCTTGGAAGACAGCACACTTGGGCCCAAGAGAGGGGGCGTGTAAGTGATATCCGGAAAGCAGTTGCATGGGCAAGAAGCGCTAACCAACCAGTTTATGTACTATGCACAGAGTACAGCTCTTTCCCATGCTCGCACGGTGTCACTACCCTGAAACAGACCCAAGACCCGAGCGGTGCACGGTGTCCTAATCCCCGTGCGGTGCACGGTGTCCCAACCCCGTGCCCCTTCTAACAGGGCGCTAGGTCGCAGAGACGCGGAGGTCAGGATAAAATGACGAGCACAGGAACACAAAAATACTCTATAGCGGCATCTTTCAAGTCGGGGAGTACCTCTCGGGTCTGATAGGGCTCTGAAGCTTTGTTCTACTTGTCCGAACCAATTGTCGCTCGACTCTTCGGATAGAAGTGATTATTGAATCAAGTTTCTTGGGGCTCTTGCGGATCATTTAGCAAACCTCGACCATGTACAGTACAGTATGTCGACCTCCTTATCTAGCCAATCCTTGGAAGATTGTCCACTTGCTTCACCAAGCCCCATTTTCACGTACCATCGCCGTCCCGAAGGCCCCGTGCAAGTCCGCATATATCATTCGCACAATTCTTTTGTAGACTCACGGATCTTACACTAACAATGAACGGATCGGGTTTGAGTTGGCCAACATAGGGGGACCCAATTTGGCCCCCGCCGCGATCCTGTGAAGAGTAGGGTCGCCGGCTTAGGTGTAATCGGCGTTCATGGTGCAATCTTGTACGAGTACAGTAACATGATTATGCACCGGTGCAAGGTCATGCGGGCTGATACTCGGAAGATCTCTCATTTTCATGAGCTGTTGATCTTAGCCATCACAAATCGCGACGTTGAGAATACCAACGGGTAACATCCTCAATACCTGGTACAAATGACGATCCTTCAAATTCCGCCCTGTTTCGTACCGTGCCACGATACATGGCTATAGTACGCCGGAGCCATGCACGGTTCGGCCAATGGACCCTCGCAGAACACACCGAAATGAGTGCCAGTGAAGGGCGAGTCCAAAACGGCGTCGAACGGTGGCCCACGGCGCTCCCGCCAGAAAAGTTTAGCGTCCATAGTGCCAAAGTGCGTGAACTCGGTACTGCTGCGAAGAGCGTAGTAGAACGCGTAACCGTCCTCCGACGCGACGATTTGGAGCTTGAGCGGCTCACTGGAAGTCAGAGGAACGACGATTTCCTAGGGCAGACAGTGTAAGCGTTGAAGAAAACAATGCCCGGTCTACTCACCTTTTCGTCATCCGAGTCCTTGTCGAAGAACCGGTACACAATTGCTTTGGCCAAAGCGCCGCGTTTATTCGCTGCCACACCCCGAATCGACACCGCACCGAAGGCATACTCGTTCCTCCACACGAGGGTTCCTGCTTCTTCGCCCTGTCGCGATGGCTCGAATTCGAGCTCGGTAGTCCACACACCCTCGAACGCGGTCTGCTTACGCAGGAGCATCGTTGGAGACTCCCAGGATCGAATTCCAACAGGCCCGCCGTACAATGCGAGGTATGAAGGACGGGCTGCGAGCGAGTAATCCTGCTTCTGGGGGGTTCGAAGGTGATACCATCCTTTTTGGAGAAGACCATCAGGGCTGTCGAAATGATCCTCCCAGTCATCTGCTTCCGCAATCCTCGGTAAACTTGGGTTGACACTGCCTTGAATGCCGATGGCTCTTCGTTGATTGACGATAGGCCAGTCATTGACCCACTCCACGGGAGCAATGAAACTCTCCCGGCCAAGCTGCGATCCGATGAACCCCCCGCTGGGCAGTTGGTGGTCACGGCGTCCCAGCAACACGGCCCACCACTGCCCATCCACAGCCTCGACCAAATCCATGTGCCCAGTGCAGGTCACCTCGTCTGTTGACTTGTTGTGTACCATGGGATTGACCGTGCCTTTGGGGCCTTCCTCCCAAGGTCCCAAGGGCCCTTCGCGGCTCCGACTCACCCACTCCTGGTGGTTGGTCTCGGTGCCGCCCTCAGCCGTGAGCAAGTAGTACCATCCGTCCTTAAAGTAGATGTGCGCTCCTTCGGCAATCTTCTTGCCATATTTGGACAGTTGTGCTGAGTGACGGGCGTGGATTGGGGGTGTCAGAGAACGGCCGGTGGGAAGGTCGATTTCAGCTGTCCAGCTGCCGATGAGGTAGCCGCTCTCGGGGATGTAGACGTCGGGTCGGCCCCAGGTGCTTGTCAAATAGCATCTGCCGTCTTTCGGGTCCCAAAAGAGCTGGAGACGCAAGCGTCACCACCGGTCAACGATCAAATACGTTCGGCCCACAACTTCACTTACGTCTTGATCGATACCGAGCATGTCATAGTAAATCGGCTCACTCCACGACTTCTCGTCCCAAATGTTATCCGTCCATACATAGAAGCCGCGACCCCCGTGCTAACATCATTCACGTTTGTGAGCGTGCTGTGCCTCGCTCTCTTTCACCGTTGCAAGACTCACGCCAAACTCTCCGGCATTGCCATTGGCGACGGTGGTCATGTAAAATCTTCGGTTGTGCTCCCTGATGGTCGCGGCATAAATGCCATGGCTCGACTTCCCATTACGAAGACTGAGTTGAGAGCGGCGCGTCAGACAGTGGCCAATGAGCTTCCAATGAACCAAATCGTTGCTGTGATAGATAGGTACGCCTGGGAAGAACTCGAAGGAAGAAGTAACGAGGAAATAGTCGTCTTTGACCCGTATGACAGATGGATCGGGGTTGAATCCCGGCAGAATGGGGTTGCGGTACGGGAGGATGTGCGTGGACATGCTAATCCGGTACGAAATAGGTGTGTGAGGTATGTCAGTTGCGTTTCCAACGCCGTCAAAGTCGGTAGACGTTTAACTTGTATTACGGGTCCAGGAGAGGTTTGTCGCAGGCGGTACTCACCTCGCCGAGACCTCGCACTCCGATGACATCGGAGGCGGGTATGGCGGTCCGGCGAGGTTCTTATTCATATCCATTTTGTTGGAGTTTCCCGCCGAATACGAACCGCTCAGCGTCGATGCCTCCATTCCATAAAGTCCTGCGAGCCGGCACCGTCAAAGGCAGGCTAATTCGGGGTTTCCCGCCGAATATCGCCCTCCTAGCCGCGCTGCCTGGCATGAAGTTTTCCGGCCCATAATTAGATATTTTTCATGGCGTGGCGAGCCCCGTGATGCGGCGAACAAAAGAAAAAGCGAGACCGATATGACGAATGCTTACCTATCGTCTAGGTTTTGCGCCGAATACGGGCCGCTCAGGAGGATCCGAAGAACGTGATCCTATGATGCTCCTGAGGGTGATCCGTCCTGTCCCATGGGGCTTAGTTGGGGCTCTTTCGGCGCTCGACCGGGCCGTGGAGCGAATGCCGGGCCGTCGGGGCAATTGTGGTCCAATAATAGCTCGGCAAGGTGACAACTGCTCGGCAAGATGAGGATCCCTGATGTGTGGATCCCCGACGTGTGGATCCCAGACAAGACCATGATTGTTCGTCGATATAAGAGGGGGCTGATCCAATTTGCTGTAGCCCGGTCATCTTCACCAGTCCACCTTCCTATCAATTCCCCCGCCTTCGACCACCAAATTGCTAGACAGGCAACACGCTCAGTATGACACAGCCGCTCGATGAGAACAAGGCCGAAATGGTGCAGCTTGAGGAGATGGATCCAGTCAACAAGCGCATGGACCGGGATCAATCCATCATCCCCGTGTCAGCATTCGCAGACATGCCCACCGGCCAGGCTCTCCGGAAGTTCTGGAGGCTCACCTTGTGGGGCATGGCGGCATCTATCGGGGGCATGTACCTCGGTTTCACCCTCGCGGTCCCAGGTTCCATTGTCGCCAACAAAGGTGAGGGTTGATCCGAAAAATTCTGGCTATTCCCACAAGACTGACAAACCTGCCTGGTAGGTTTCATCGATCAGTTTGGCACTGTAAAGGACCCGGTAACGGGTGTGCTCGCTCTCAATGCCACCTACGTTGCGGTCTGGGGAGGCACGACCTTCGCTGCTCAGGTCGTGTTTCAAGCCCTCTCACCCTTCACCGCTGACCGCTTCGGTGTCAAGATGAACCTCTACCTCTTCACCTTTTGGATGACCGCCGCCATTATCACCGAGATCCTCTCCAAGAATTGGATCGCCTACCTCTTTGCCAAAATCTTTTCGGGAGCTGCGTGCGGCTACATCGGCACTGGTATCATGACCTATTTGACCGAGATCACCATGCCGCAGACCCGCGGTGCAATCGGTTCCGTGTTCTCCGTGTGGTGGAAGTTGGGTTCGCTATTTGGCGCCGTCGGCCTCGACATCCTCAACACGACCGCCCCGCTCCAATTTCGCCGCGCGTTCTACTCCGAGTTTGTCCTCGTCGGCATTTGGGCGCTGCCCGTTATTTTCTTGCCGGAAACTCCGCTATGGCTCTGTCGACAAGGCAAGCATGAACAGGCCAAGAAGTCTCTCAAGTTCCTTATCGGCAAGGTTGAAGGATACGACTTGGATCACGAGTACGAGTGCATCAAATGGCAGGTCCATGAGTCGAAGCTTGTCCAGGAACGCTACAGCGAGAGTGCCTGGAAGGCTTTCTTCAAGTGGGGCAACCTGAGGCGAGGGCTCATCGCGACAATGCCGTTTACCATGCAGGTCTGTGCATTTCGTGAGCTCTTGTCTACACGCTGACCGTGCAATTCGACAGAACTTCTCCGGTGGCGCCCTCACAAACGGCTACACCACCTACTTTCTTCAGCTCGCCGGCCTCACGAACGCCTTTCAGGGCACAGTCATCCTCTACTCCATCGAAATCGTCGCTCTGATTGCCGCCGTCTACATGGTGGAGAAAGTCGGCCGTCGCCCCCTTGTTCTCATTGGTACAGCAGGATGCGGCATCTGCATGCTCCTCATCGGCGCTCTCGCCAACGTCAAAGTCACGACCGCATCCAGCTCTGGTCTCATCGTGATCTGCTCCGCCTGGGAGCTATTCTACGGCTCGTCA